CTGAAACTCCAGGGCCAGACGCTCCAGCAGCGACTCTTTTCCCAGGCTGTAGAGTCCTGAATAATGTTAAAGAGAGTGGGGAAACTAACAAAGGAAGACAATGAGGCTATGTCACTGTAGTTGTTCAGTTGCTAACACATTCAGCTCTTCTGTAACAGCTCAGGGACTGGAGCCCGCCAGGCTCCTCTGCCCATTGGATTTCCCAGGCAAGAATCCTGGAGTGGGTAGCCATTTCTTCCTCCAGGGGATCTTCCTGACACAGGGGCTGAACCTGCATCTCCTGCACTGGCAGGTGGATTCTTTACCACTGAGCCACCAGGGAAGCCACAATGAAGCTACGTGCTTAGTCACCCAGTTGTGTCTGACTCTTTGAGACCCCAAGGACTGTAGTCCACCAGGCTCCTCTGGCCATGGAGGATTCTCCAGGTAAGAATACCGGAGTGGGTTGCCATGCCCTCCTCAATGAAGCTATGGGGGAATCCTAATAAGTCAACAAAGTGTTTAATAAAAATACATAAAATTAGTGGGACTATCCCCTGTTTGTATATCAGGAAGGAGGTACATGTGAGCTAGGTATATGGAGGATGGGGCTTCCCAGGTGGCTCAGTGGTAAAGAGTCCACCTGTCAATCTAGGAGATGCAGGCAGTCGGGAAAATCCCCTGGAGGAGGAAATGGCAACCCATTCCAGTATTCCTACCTGGAGAATCCCATGGACAGAGGAACCTGGCGGGCTACAGTCCATGGAGTCACAGAGGGTGGGATGGGACTGAGCACATATGGAGGATGGGGTAGGGAGAAATTTAACACAGAATCCACTCATTCATTCAGCTCAGCAAAGGAACGCACCTACCAAGTGTTTAGCACTATGAAAACAAACAACAATCAGTTAGAAGGTCCAAATAGTACTCAGAGAGAAAGAAACGGAGGCCTGAATTTGGATAATGCTCACGGTAACAGATACAGGAGATACTATTTAAGCAGTTGTTCACAGACCTTTTCTGAAGGTATTTCAAGTCTATAGTCAGATTGTGACCTCCTTTAAAGAATCTGTATTTCCTTTATATCTACTTTATTCCTCAGCATGGTTCAAAATCTCACTCTTTGGGCACAAATGCAGCTGATTTCACTCTCCCTATCCCCCCCTCACCCTTTTGAAAAAGAACCTATTCTAGGCCCTTTACTACTAGACTTTAAGCCCTCATATTTTATTCATTTTTCTATTCCCACTGCCTATCAGAATATTTGACACATAGTATGGGCTTATTGTATATCTGAAAAATTAATCAAGCCCTTCTGTATTACCCCCCTAGCCAGCTATGCCTCCTCTAGGAAAATTCTGTGTTAAAAACTCCAAGAAGACTTAGGACTGGTATTTCTTCATGAAGTCAAGCAATCCTGAAAGAGAATATCTCTCCATCAATTTGGTGTCACTCTGGAAGGTATATAATTTGTTTTCAATGCCTCTGTTTAAGCCTATTTTGAAACTCCTTTCAGAGTTGCGGCATATCTTTTTAAAATATTCATCATGATGGCAAATCTTCCTTTTGTGGATTTATTACAATTTTGGAACAATCAAAAAAGTCATTTGGCTTCTCTGGGGGTCCAGTGGCTAAGACTCCATGCGCCCAATGTAGGGGGCCTGGGTTCAATCCCTAGTGAGGGAACTAGATCCCACATGCCACAGCTAAGACCCATCACAGCTAAATAAATTAAAAATTTTTTAAAAAGGTATTTGGAATTAAATCTATTACATTAAAAAAAAAAAACTGATTTTCATAAACTATCTCAAAAGACAATTCCAAGAATCCCCAAATGTTTGGTACTCTTGTAGAACTACAAAATCACAAGCGGACAGCTGTGATTTCAATGTATCTAATTGTAAGCATAACACTCACTTGAGCATCTACATTCTGATAAACTGCATTCACTTTCTAACAAATATTTATCAAATTCCTCTATCAGGCATTAATCTAGGCATCTGGCATATATCCATTAAGTGAAACAAAGAGCCTGTTCATTGTGAAATTTCCATTCTAGCAGGGGGAGACAGATAATAAGAAGTAAATACAATAAACACGTAAACTATGGAATACATTATAAGGTGATTACTGCAATAGTGTCCCTCTCCTACTTAAAACCCTTCAATAGCTTTTTGACCTAAGAGCAATGGTTGCATTTAGGACCAAGTGCAAAATGGCTTACAGGCACTTCAGTCCCTCCTGCCTTTCCAGCCTCCTCAACCACTATGCGCCGGTCACATGGCTTCTTCTCTGTTCCACAAACACATAAGACTTCTTCCTACCTCCAACCATGCTCTCAAGGAATAAATGCGTGTGTGGCAGAAGTGGGGATAGGCAATCAACAATAAGCAACAGTAGAGGAAAACATGAAGTATGTGGGAAGTTGAGTGCCATGAAAAAATGAAAAACTTGAATTGACTTAGGGGATCTGGGGTTGGGAATGTGGGAGCAGAGATGTATTTTTAAATAATAAGGTCAGGGTAGATTTCATGGAGAAAAGGAGATCTGCACAAAGACATGAAAGATGTGAGAACCCCCAAAGAACCTAGATTCACTAGTTCCATGAGTGAGAGAAAAAGGAAAACCCTCACCAATTTTTATGTTATGTTGTGGGTGCTTTCGAATGAGTTCAACAATCTGGCGGGCAGCTTCTTCTTGGGAAGGAAGAACCAGGTCTGGGTTGCAATTGGTATTGTCTAGGTATAAGGTATGAATCTGTTTCCCCAGTCTTAGGGCTGGCTCCTTCAGCATAGATGGTGTATACCGAAAATCACCTGGGGAAAAAATATGGGAGGCATAGTCAGAGGCAAAAGCATAGAAGACAAGCTTCTCCCAATTCCAACAGCAGATGGGCATTTGCCTACTGGCATCTTGGAAAAAACCTAGCATCTTGGAAAAGTCTAGCAGTGATCTAATGTAGCAGAGTTTCTTTGTGGAAATGTCTCCATCGTGCTCCTGCATTTTCAGTATTCTTTGCAAAGTCTGTACCCTTAAAGAATGAAAAATCAATTGAGAAAGGATCATTCCGCTCATGTGACACGAAGCTAGGAGGCCTCCAGGCTTCTACTATGAGTCAAGGCTACTCAAGAAAAGTAATGTTGGAAATTTCCTGGCAGTCCAGTGGTTAAGATTCAGTGCTTTCACTGCTGGCAGGACTGGTTCAATCCCAGGTTGGGGAAATAGGATCTTGAAAACCATAGGGCTTGGCCAAAAAAAAAAAAAAGTAGTGTCTAGGCTGGGAAAGTGGGAAGGAGCCCTCTGGAAGCCCACCTGTATAGAGGATGGTTCCAAAGTATCCTTCAAAGAGAAACATGACAGAGCCCGGGCAGTGATTGGCATCCAAGAGGGTGACCGTCATGGTCTCTCGTCCAGCTTCATCTAGAGGCAGGACATGGCTCTCACCAACCTCCAGGGCTCGGATCCACTGCTTAGACACCTGAAGAAACAGCAGGTCATCTCAGGAAACACAGACGCCCCTCCCTGATACCTCCCTGGATGAGAAGCTGTGATAGGGATCACAGTCCTCTCTTCCTCCTCCCTCTCTCTACCCCATCCTTCCTAAAAGGCTAAATTAAGAGTCCAGAAAGCAAGTCTACTCAACCATTCTTCAACTTTCCAAACCATAATAATCCCTTCGAGTGCTGTGCTTAGTCACTCAGTCATGGCCAACTCTTTTGCCACCCCTTGGACTGTAGCCCACTAGGTTCCTCTGTCCACGGAATTCTCCAGGCAAGAATACTGGAGTGTGCTGCCACGCCCTTCTCCAGGGGATTTTCCTGACCCCAGGATCGGGCCCAGGTCTCCCGAATTGCAGGCAGATTCTTTACCGTCTGAATCACCAGGGAAGCCCTTGGGGGTGCCTGTTAAAAAAATTCCAGCCAGATTTCCAGGACCTGCATCAGCTATGTCTACTGATTCAAATGCGGGAGGAGGGAGGCACTGAAGAATCTATTTACTCAGAACATTAGATGAATTCTTAGGAGCCAAGATGGGAAAACACTGGCCTAGCTCATGTGAAGAGGTAGGAACAGTTTCCTTGACAGGCCAAGAAGTCCTCCCCAGTTTTATCGCTGAAACATCCCAAGTCCGCCAGTTGGAAACCACTCTCGTTCTGGGTTTAATATGCATTTCTGGGTTCCCCAAGACTGTCGCTTTGGTAAAAATCAGTTCTCCAGGCCACAACTCTATGAGTCCAAGACTGACAGATCGGGAGGCCCCACCCAGATGCCAGGGCTAATTCTCCTAGGCCGACTCCAACCCCCCATACCTGTAGGTGGCGGTGCAAGAGGCGAGCCGTGACCGGGGAGCAGTAGAGGGGCCGGGCCCAGGTGCTAGTCAGACCAACGGTGTGGTCCGAGTGCAGGTGGGTCAGGAAGAAGAGTCGGCCGGAGCCAGCCCGGCGCAGGCTCCAGAAGTCCACCGCGATGGGCGCATGAGGGATCAAGACCCCATTCATGGTGGCAGAGCTCGAGTCACCAGTGGGTTCTTTGTGGGAACAGAGCTCCTGTGAGGCTCCTACCATGCCGCCCTGAAAAAAAACATGCTCGGGCAAGAACAGGGCTAGAGACCGTAAGGAAAAGCCAGCCCACTGAGGGAATGAATGGCTAGACTGGGCAGAAAGAAGGAAGTGACCTTGCTGGTAGGAGTTTGGGTGGAATCTCAAACCGCAGAAGGCGCCCAACTGAGCGCCACTCCCCCGGACGCGCCAGACCCGGGGCCGAAACCCGGCACTCAAAGCGCGCGCTGCTGGGCGGAGACAGGCCGAAGTAGCCAACTTCCGATTGCTCGCAGCAGCTCCACCAGAGGGAGCCGCGCGGCTGCGCCGGGAGGTGAGAGGTTGGGGGAAGGGCACCCAAAGGTCGGGATCCAGGCTGCGCTCGGCGCTCCCTGGGAGAGGGTGATTGGCAGCCGCTCTACGCGGTCCCTCTGGAGGAGGCGGGACTTCCGCAGAGAGCTTGATTGGGCCTCTAGGTGATGGCAACCGCGTGGAGGCGCAAGAAAGGCTGGAACTGGAGAGGGAGGGGTTCACGGACAGTTGGCTGCGGGGCTAGAAATCAGGCCGAGAACCTAGAGTTTGGGGAGAGTTCTGTGGGCGGAGCGAACCAGCCTGCAGGTCCCGGGATAGAACCGCAGAGCCTGGGGTGGGCCTCTCCCGGAAGGAAGAGGGTTGAAGTTGAGTATGCTAGGTCATGGTTGCGGGCCTTGGGGAAGACAAGGCTGGGGCAAGCTCGCGCCTTGTTGTCCCTTCACTGACTGACATTTCCTTCACCCAGGTCCCCATATCAGGGCTAAAAGGAGCCCGAGTTCCCTAGGGATCTGTGGGAACTGCCCCGTGACTGTTGGAGAAGATGCCGTACCTTGGCTCCGAGGACGTGGTGAAGGAGCTGAAGAAGGCTCTGTGTAATCCTCACATTCAGGCTGATAGGCTGCGCTATCGGAGTGTCATCCAGCGAGTGATTAGGTATCACCTAACGCCCTAATTTCCCCATTGCCATCCCCAGCAGGCCTCTCTCCCCGTGGCTGCGCAGAAAGAGTTAATGAACTTTCATGCATGGCAGTTGTACGGTTTGGTCTTTCTGCTTCTCTGGAATGACATCTAAGTCTCCCCCGTGGGGCATATTTTGCTTCTTTTACTCAGCTGGGTGGTTTCATCCATATCTTGACCTTGTGCTGCTGATCTGTATCTAGTACAGATATCCTCAGACTCACACATCCTGTTGTTTGCTTGGCATTTCTGCCTGGATGTGTCTTCAAAGACATGCAAAATAGCACCTGCTTTCTTCCCTCCACCTTCCCAGACCTGCTCTTCTGCTTGTATTGTGTTGATAAATGTCACCACCCAGCTGACCAAGTGTGGGAGTCAGTCTTGATGACACCTGATCTTCACTGCTCAAGTCAGGTGGTATGGATTTGTGGTTCTAAATATCCATCCTCTTTTTAAAAAATCGGCACTGCTGTTCTGGTTTCTTTATAAAAAAGAATTACAGTAGTTTAAGAGTAGGTCAGGGCTTCCCTGCTGACTCAGTGGTAAAGAATCCGCTGCCAATGCAAGAGACTCCAGTTCCATACCTGGGTCAGGAAGATCCCCTGGAGAAGGAAATGGCAACTGACTCGAGGATTCTTGCTTTGAAAATCCTATGGACAGAGGAGCCTGGCAGGCTACAGTCCATGGGATTGTGAAAAGAATTGGATATGACTTAGCAACTAAAGAGCAACAAAGTATCAGGTCATCTTGAGTGACTAAAACAACAGCAGAGTGTTAGGTCATCTTGCTCCCATTTCAGTTAGAGTGATTTTCCAATATATGAATTTGACAATATATCTCTTGCCTGTAGCAAACTTTGTATCACAAACTTTAGCATGCACAGTTTTTAAGAATGCTTTTTAAAATTTTACTGCTTTTTTAATGCTTCTTTAATGCTTTTTAAGAAAATGTAAAAATTTCATTCAATCCAGGAATTCTGATTTCAGTAGGTGGGATGGAACCCAGGAATCTGCATTTTGAACAGACATCCCCTCAAATTCCTATAGGAGATCACAGTTTCTCAAACTGTGATTTTACAGAATAAAGTCCAGATTTCTTACCATAACATCCAAGGAACACCCTGTTAACTACCTTCAGACTGTCAAAAGAACATACCATTCTTGCTCATGTCCACATCCCTTATAGCGTGTATCATTACCTATCTATTACACTTCCCTGGAGCTCCTGCTAATTTGGCTCAAGGATTACTTCCTGGCAGTGTTAGATACCCATTGCACCTTATCTGTTCCTTCTGTTGTAATACTTATCAGTCATTCTGTAATTAGAGGTGTTCTTGTCTGCCTGCTTGGTAGATTTGAGTTCCTTCAGATCTGAGAACATGCCTTCCTCAGATTATGTCCCCAGAATTTATCCCTGGAATGTAAAAGCTGAATGCTGTTGGAATGTATCAATACTTAGGAATTCTGTAAGTGTTTGTTGAATGAATAGAAGAACGTTTATTGCAGGCCATGTTAAGTTTTGTGTGATATGATAGAAAAGGTAGACCTTGTTGCTTCCCTCTAAAAGGTCACAATCTAGTTGGCCATCCAGGACATGTATAAGTAAAAGGCTTTCTCTAAGTTGTTGGTGATGAGTTGGGGAATATGTTTTTTACTTTTCCCTGCTGTGTGTGTTGGTTTCAGGCACATGACTCAAGGGGTGGACATGTCTGGTGTTTTTATGGAAATGGTGAAAGCTAGTGCCACTGTAGATATTGTTCAGAAGAAGTTAGTTTATCTCTACATGTGTACCTACGCTCCCTTGAAACCAGATCTGGCTCTCCTGGCCATCAACACACTGTGCAAAGACTGTTCGGACCCCAACCCAATGGTGCGAGGGCTGGCATTACGGAGCATGTGTAGCCTCAGGTGAGCACTCTCTTCCCTTCCTGCGTGTCAGTGGCTGATGAGTTCATGTGGTCACAGGCAGATTTTTAATGGTGACAATTTATTTGAGCTCCTTAGTACTGGGGAAAACATGGTTGTAACCTGAACTCAGTTTGTCAGCCATTACTTTGATTTAAAAAACTATATAGATGATTTTATTAAGATGATTTTATTTTATTATTTTATTAATAAAAATCATTAAGATGATTTTTCTGCTTTACTCAGTGAGATAGTTAAAGATTTCTAAATGTGTGTGTGTTTTAACTTGCCTGTGCAGCATTATCCACATGAAAAGTCAAGTGAGGCTTTTTAGCAGCAGCTTTCTTGAGTTTGTTGAGAAGAATCTGACCAATGCATATTCAAACATCTACTAAACCCTCTGTTAAGTGAATAGGGGCTAAATTATGTCAACACTAGTACTTTAGGATCTGGCTGACTCCAGAATGTGTTGCTTAGGATGCCTGGTGTGCAGGAATATATCCAACAACCAATTCTCAATGGTCTGCGGGATAAGGCTTCGTATGTCAGGAGGGTAGCAGTCCTTGGCTGTGCCAAGATGCATAATCTTCATGGAGACTCTGAAGTGGGTAAGTTTCAATGTAATCTATCATGATCAGTATTTATTTGTGCTTCCATTATATGACTTTGTAAAAGATTATGTCGTTTTGGTAGAAAATAATAATGTGGCTCTACTGGATGTCCCTTTTTTAAAATTTCATTTTATTTCTTAAATTTATTTTTATTTGGAGTATAATTGCTTTACATGTTGTGTTGGTTTCTGCCATAGAACAACATGAATCATCCAGAAATATTCATATATCCTCTCCCTCTTGAACTTCCCTTCCACCCTAGGTGTCTCTTTTAAGTAGGATGCAAGGCTTGGTATTTTCTGAGATTAAAGAAGTCCTTTCTTTGGGGTTCAGGTGAAATTCTTTGCATCAACTACTTAGGATAGTCTGGAAATGGCAATTTTTAGCCTTGTACATTGCTACTGCCTTTGTTACTTTTGTGTAATAGCAGAGAAGTTTAGCTTTGTCTGCCTAGAACTATCATTCTGGCTCTATTCCCGTGATTCTGAAGCTTTTGTTTATATGAGATCTTTATTCTTTTGTAGATGGTGCCCTGGTAAATGAATTATATAGTTTGCTGCGCGACCAGGATCCAATTGTGGTTGTGAACTGCCTGAGGTCTCTAGAGGAAATTCTGAAACAGGAAGGAGGTGTTGTCATCAATAAGCCCATCGCCCACCATCTCTTAAATCGGTTTGGATGCCTCTGTTCTCTTTTTATCATGATCAGATCTGCATCTCTGCATCATAGTGGGATCTTGTTGATGTATTGAATGAAGGAGAGGTTCTTGAACAACTTCTGTAGAGCAGTAGAAAAAAGTTAACTGTAACCATTAACTACCTCATGTTTCATTGTAAGTTTTATGGTTTTTTTTTTTTTTTTGTCTTAGTTTCTTTTGATAATATAGAGAGATGGCAGAAAGATCCTTGGGGGGATAGGTTCTGTCCCCTGCAGTCATTATGTCCCTGAAACTAAGCCATTCACACATACTATCTTACAATGTAGAGAGTCTGGGTCTAGGGTATAGCAATCATGTCTTTGGCCTTAGATGAGTATGCATTTGTACTGTGAACTCATCTTGTTATTTAAAGACTTTGTATAAACTTTAAGTAATATGTAAAAAGAATAATCCGATTATGGTACAACCTATTTTTAAGAATTCTCCCCTTATTGTGATGTGCAAATGACTAGTAACAGAGAAATTGCATGGAGGTAGTTCTAATTTTGTTGCTAATGTAGCCCATTTGTTTTCTTTTGGGGGTAGAATGTCAAAACTGGACCAGTGGGGCCAGGCTGAAGTCTTGAACTTTCTGCTCCGCTACCAACCCCGAAGTGAGGAGGAGCTGTTTGACATTCTCAATCTGTTGGACAGTTTTCTCAAGAGCAGCAGCCCAGGAGTGGTGATGGGAGCCACCAAACTCTTTCTGATCTTGGCCAGAAAATTCCCGCACGTGCAGACCGACGTGCTCATGCAAGTCAAGGGCCCTCTGCTGGCCGCCTGTTCCTCCGAGAGCCGAGAGCTCTGCTTCGCTGCCCTCTGCCATGTGCGCCAGATCCTGCGCAGCTTGCCGGGTCACTTCAGCGGCCACTACAAGAAGTTTTTCTGCTCCTATTCGGAGCCCCACTACATCAAGCTCCAGAAGGTGGAGGTGCTGTGTGAACTGGTGAACGACGAGAATGTGCAGCAGGTGCTGGAGGAGCTGCGAGGGTACTGCACCGACGTGTCCGCCGACTTCGCGCAGGCCGCCGTCTTCGCCATTGGTAGGTGTCTGCTGCTTTTCCTTCATGAGAGCCTACGCCAGACAGCTAGAGAGAGCAAAAGGGAAGGAGTCTTGCTTCAAGGGAAAGTATTTCGCACCAAAAAATTGGGTCAGTGACTACGAATAAGTGGAGGAGGAAGGCTCTTTTGGTCAACACCGGTGTTGCCCTGTCTTTCTAGGATATAGACTAAGGGTGATTCAAACTGTAACATGATTGATTAATTGATTTTAAAAAACATTATTTATTTATTTTGGGTTGCACTGGGTCTTAGTCGCTGCTCTCAGGCTTTCTCTAGTTGAGGAGAGTGGGGACTGCTCTTTGTTGTGGTACGCAGGCTTTTCATTGTGTGGCTTCTCTTGTTGTGGAGCGTGGACTCTAGGTGCACTGGCTTCCCTAGCTGTAGCTCTTGGGCGCTGGTGCACTGGCTGGGTAGTTGAGGCTCCCGGGCTTAGCTGCCCCGTGGCATGTGGGATCTTCCTGGAACAGGGATCGAACCCGTGTCCCCTGCATTGGCAGGCAGATTCCCATCCACCGTTGGACCATCTGGGAAGTCCAACACGATTTATATTGCCTTTCGTTGTACCTTACCAAAAATGCTTTTCTGTAGATCATCTTCCCGTAGTCTTGTGAGACAGTCAAGAAAAGTGGACAAGAGGTTATTAACTTCGTTTTCAAGATGAAGCAACTCAGTCACAAAAAGTTTCTTAAATTGTGCAAAGTTTATATAGTTCCTGAACTGGGACTGAAACCCAGCTTTCCTGACTCAAAGTCCTGTGTCAATTCAACAGTTGTTTATTGAGCTTCTACTCTGGGCTACTTCGTATTGTGCTGCATAGACCAACATGGAGTAAAACCTAAGGCCTACAGACCTTTTCACACTACCGTGTCTGCAATCTAAAGAGCTAGAGTGAGCCACAACGTGAAAGCAGCTGGGGAGCTCAGTTTTGGAGGACTTCAAGGGAAGGAGGAGACGGAACTCTCCTAGATAGAATAAAGTATGGCTATATTTAGGGACAGAGAAGAGGAAGCAAGAGGGGAGTAGAAATCCTGCCACCCGGAGGCCGCTGTCAATTGTCCCCAGCGGGAATACTCCTGTGCCGGGGTGCTGCAACAAACTGGCGGCCGTATAAATACTCTGAAAGTTTCCAACCTTGTTCAACAGGGAATTCGTTTTTACCTAAGTTCCCTTAAATTCTTATTTCATCAAGCAAGGGTTGGTTGTTTTTTTTTTTTTAGGTGTTTCCGGTCCTCTTTGTTTTTGGTTGGTAGGAAATTGTTTTAGAATGAGGTGCTAATATTTGACTTAACACTTTTTCTGCTTCCCTTCCTCTGTAGGTGGCATCGCCAGGACCTACACCGATCAGTGTGTGCAGATTCTAACAGAGTTGCTGGGGCTTCGACAAGAGCACATTACCACGGGTAATAGCTACCATTCTAGGATTTTTTTTGTGTTTTTGAGGGGGGACCAATTTCCTGGCTTGTGATGGTTTCTCAGAGTATGTTTGTTGTTGAATATGAGAGGTTTAGGCTTTTCTTTACGTCATCATCAGTCGCCATCAGAGGAGCATATAGACCTAACACGGCAGGGGGTCTTCAGGTTGCCGGGAGTCTTCAAGGTTCTGTTGTATAGCTAATGAAGGGTGCTAGGATGACCTTGCTTGTCATTTCCCCACCTTTGTCCCTCTTTATGCTCTACAGCAGCAACTGTAAGCAGTGGCTGCCAGGCCTGGGACTAGAATGATGCAAACAAGGTGCCAAGGATACAGACATTTAAAGAGGCATTCACTATTATATAAAGCATGGATAAACAACAAGGTCCTACTCAACAGCATGGGGATCTATATTCAATATCCTGTGATACACCAGAATGGAGGCCTTCCCTGCTGGTCTAATGTTTAAGAATCCACCTGCCAATGCAAGGGACACGGATTTAGTCCCTGGTCTGAGAAGATTCCACATGCAGCGGGGCAGCTAAGCTGGTGTGCCACAACTACTGAAGCCCGTGCGCCTAGAGCCTGTGCCCTGCAACAAGAAAAGCCAGCGCAATGAGAAGCCCATGCACTGCAACTAGAGAGTAGCCCCCACTTACCACAACTAGAAAAAAGCCTGGACAGCAACGAAGACCCAGCACAGCTAAAAAAAAAAAGCCTTACCAGAAAAGAATATATGAATATATATATATAAAATGTATATAGAGAGTCACTCAGTCTCAGGTTCATGCAGGTGCTACCTCTGTGTGTCCTCTTATGTTTTACAACCTGGCACCTTGCTTGGGTGCTTAGGGCTTCACCATAGCCCCAGCGTCTCCATTTCTACTGTCTTCAGAGTATCATTCAACAGCAGCAATCCCCCACATTTGTATATGGCCTTCCAGTTTACCAAGTGCCTTTGCATACATTAATTCTTGTATCCTCATGGCAATCTAAGAAGAGCAACATTCATTTAAGAAATCGTTGCCCATGCCAGACATTTCTCAGATAATCACTGACCACCCCCTCCAACACCCGTTTTGCAGACATTCCCACAGCCTGACTGTGTGCCTTTTCTTAAGATTCCTTCCCACGCGGAGGCGCTAACCCTGTGCTCTTGTGTCCTGAGCTGTGCTGCAGCGGTGGTGCAGACTTTCCGAGACCTGGTATGGTTGTGTCCTCAATGCACGGAAGCTGTGTGTCAGGCCCTGCCCGGCTGTGAGGAGAACATTCAAGATAGTGAGGTAGACTATGATTCTCCTTTACTTCTAGGTCAAGGGGAAGTGCTTGGGACCTGCTCTCTGAAATGGAATCTAATTATTCTTTCTCTCCAGTGTCTGAAGTGGGAATTCTTAGAATCGATTGCCACCTCAGATTCTCTTTTGGGTGTAGGCAGGATATAAATTATGCAAACATTAGGATTTAACTATGGTTTCCTTACAAATATTTTGATACCATTATTGTCGTGTAACATGTTCATTATTTTGAGTGAGAGATTTAGACCATAGAGTTTTCAGCTGGCATGAAAATCAGAGTCATTTGTGGACTTTCTATGTTTAGGCTTCACCCCAGGTCTACTCAAATATTCACAGGGTTCCCATGTGTGGGAACCCTGGACACATACAGTTTCAAGAAACCTCGCAGGCGATTCTGACACGCACTCTAGCTTAATCACCACTTTAATGGAGTAACTCAGGGAAATCTTCCAGTAACTTTCACTGGAGTGTGAAACCCCAAATTGGGGCCGAAGTCCCCAAACTGAGGAATCTTTATTGCTTAAACAACATGGGTGTGAGAGTCATAAGTCTCCTTTTTTTGTGGTAGAATTTCGTTCCTATTTGTTGTAGAGAGTTTAGTAGGGGGTAGAGATCAATAACTGCAAGTTGAAGCAAATAAAATATACTTTTTTAGCTAACTCTAGGGGAGAAGCAAAACCTTCTGCTGTCTGCCGTCTGCTCTCGCCTGTGTTTTGGACAGCCAAATGTTAAGCATCTGTTCTTACTCCCTAATTCCCTAGGGGAAGCAGGCACTTATCTGGTTACTCGGTGTCCATGGGAAGAGAATCCCCAATGCTCCTTATGTGTTGGAAGACTTCATAGAGAATGTGAAGTCGGAGACGTTCCCAGCTGTCAAGATGGAGCTGCTCACAGCTGTGCAGCGCCTCTTCCTCTCTCGCCCAGCTGAGTGCCAGGACATGCTAGGCCGCTTGTTACACTACTGCATAGGTAGGCTCTTCAGAGGAAATGGTACTTGCCATGGCCAGTTGTGTATACCTCCTGATGGCTCAGATGATAAAGAATCTGCCTGCAATGCAGGAGACCCAGGTTTGATCCCTGGGTTGGAAAGATCCCCCAGAGAAGGGAATGGCAACTCACCCCAGTATTCTTGCCTGGAGAATTCCATGGACAGAGGAGCCTCGTGGACTACAGTTCATGTGATCACGAAGAGTCAGACACAACTGAACAACTAACACTTTCACTGTCAGTCATAGAGGTTCTCACAGCTTTCATTGTTTGATGAGCTGTGTCTGGGACCCAAGGAGAAAATGTCAACATTTTCTAGGGTTTCCTCCCTCCTATTCTCGTGGGCACTGGGATAGAAAGAATGTTTTTATTTTTAATTAACTCAATATTTTATCTTACCTCAGAGGAAGAAAAGGACATGGCAGTACGAGATCGAGGTCTCTTCTATTATCGCCTCCTCTTAGCGGGCATCAATGAAGTAAAGCAGATCCTGTGTAGCCCTAAATCTGACCCTTCCCTCAGACTTTTGGAGGATCAGGCAGAAAGACCTGTGAACAGCTGGGCCTTGGACTTCAACACTCTGGTGCCAGTCTATGGCAAAGCCCGCTGGGCAACCATCTCTAAATGCCAGGGAGTAGAACATCATGGCCCAGAGCTTCCTAACACTACAGCCTTTCCCACATCAGGTAAAAATCATCCTTATTTTCTATCTTGTTATGAAAAATCTCTATGGTAGAAAGTAAAGTACCCCAGCTAAACTTTATATTGTTGCTTGAATTTCGTCTTTGTGAACAAGAAAATTTGCCTTTGGTTATTTAAGCCATTTCTCCTAAGATAAAAATCACATTGTGTACTTTTGGAAATCTAGAGTTAAAAATGTAGTTCCAGCAGACTGAGAGCGTCTCTTATACAAGCTTTCTGACTCTTGTAGGACCCCTGATTCCCGAGGAGAACAAAGAGAGGGTCCAGGAACTCCCTGATTCCGGAGCCCTCATGCTCATCCCCAATCACCAGCTTACTGCTGAGTGTTTTGAGAAAACTTGGCTGAGCCTCAAAGTTGCTCATCAGCAGGCGTTCCCGTGGCAGGGAGCAGTCCATCCTGACAACCTGCAGATGGCGCTGCAAGTCGTGAACATCCAGACCATCGCGATGAGCCGGGCTGGGACTAAGCCATGGAAAGCCTACCTCAGTGCTCAGGACGACACTGGCCGTCTGTTCCTAACAGAACTGCTGCTGGAGCCTGCGAACGTGCAAATGCAGATCTCAGTGAAACAAAGCGAGGCAGGGACAGAGACACTGAAGAGTTTTATTTCTGTTTTAGAAACTGTGATCGGAACGCTTGGAGACATAAAATCATAACGGCTTCTTGTCTGTCCTGAGTGAGATGAATAGCTCTCAGAGTTCCTTAGTTTTTCTTATTATCACTGCTTGTAAGTCCACATAATATCAGATGCAAAGGAGAAGGGGAATCTGGGAATGAGGATTCTTCCATTTTTGTCCAAAGAACATTGACATGTTCCTCTCATACCTATTGGTGAATGACCCCACTTTTCCAAGTGATGTTGTAAAGATTAATGTTGTTGGGGAGAGGGTGAGGGTAGAATTTGTATTCTTTTCTAATTAGCTTAAGGGATTATTTTACTAATTAAAGATGTCTGATGTGTCTGGAAACTGATAGGGACATCAGTTTGTAAGGGTCATCTTTTCTTCCCTGGATTATTACAGTAAATTCCCTACTGTTATAATATTTCTAATCATGTTTTTTAGGGCAGAGTTCAAAGTCCTTAACATGATATCCGAAGTTCCTCCTCTGTGCCATGTCTCAGCGCTCACCAGAATACCCCGTGTTCTGGCAAAAGCAAAGCACTTGCAGTTCCCTGAATATACTCAGCTCTCTCTTATCTCTCTGCTTTTACTTCCTGCCTGCAATATTTCCTCACCCTCAAATCTTTTTAAGTAACGCTCAGTCTATCTTTTGGTGTTCAGTTCAGATGTGAGCTCTTTCAGGATGTTTTCTGTGACCCTCTCTGCCTTCATTGGGGTTTCATTCAAGCTGTGAAAGCAGTCAGTGCACATGTCTAGCAGTACTACTGGGGTGGCGCTAAAGAACCCAACCTCCCAATGCAGGAGATATAAGAGACATGGTTTCGAACCCTGGTTTGGGAAGATCCGCTGGAAGAAAACCCATTCCAGTATTCTTGCCTGGAGAATCCCATGGAAAGAGGAGCCTGGTAAACTACAGTCCATAGGGTCACAAAGAGCGGGACTGAGGCAACTAAGCACAGCACAGCAGTACTATTGTAATTGTTTTCTTGTCACTCTTTCTCATGTTTAATTTTCTTCATAACTGACCACATTTTATACATGGAGACAACTTATGGCCAAAACAGATGTAATAAACTGATGGTAAAGTATAAATAACCAGAGAATCCAGCATAGGAAAAATAAAAACACCTGTTAAGACCAACTGGGTTAGGGATGGGAAAGTATACAAATGTCCAGGCTGAAAGGGTCTACATAGTTGATACAGTTGAGGTCGTATTTAGCTTTGTAAGTGATTTGCATGCTAAGTAGCTTCAGTCATGTCCGACTCTTTGTGACTTCGTGGACTGTAGCCCGCTAGGCTCCTCTGTCTGTGGGGATTCTCCAAGAATGAATACTGGAGTGGGTTGCCATGCCCTTCTCCAGGGGATCTTCCCTACTTAGGGATCGAACCTTCGTCTCTTGCATCTCCTGCATTGGCAGGCGTGTTCTTTACCACTAACGTCACTTGGAAGCAGCCAGAATTAAAGAGGAATGGTTGTGTAGTTGTCACCAGAGAGAAAGAAATATTTCAATTCTAATTTCTAAAATTTACATGTAGTTTTACATGGATGGTACTGAATGGTATGTAGAATACTTGTGTGGCAAGTTAGTAAAGTGTTTCACATGACTTTCTTGTGGTGTTCTTCAATATGAACAGAGAACATAATTTTAATATGAAGCTTAGTGAGGGCATTCTTCAAGGACTAAAGATACTATGACCCAAATATCATCCAGCTTAACTCAAGGACTTCTTCTACCTGGATCCATAGATGGACTGCATATCCTTCAAATAATGCTTTGCCTATGATTTCTCTCAGCTAATCTTTTAATAAGAGTAGAAAACAGATAGTGCTGAATTTTCTGGCAAGGGCCTGGATTTAGTCAGTTGTCTGTCTCTGCCAGACAATTTTTAAGGACAGATTATCTTTCTTTCCTTCTGTCTACGGTGCCTACAAGATAGTGGTTACTCAATAAATAGTATTGAATTAATGGCTGTAAGTTTTGAATAATTAGATGCTGATGGTATTTGTAGACTGGTGTTTGAAGTGTGTTTTGTTATATTGCATCAACCATACAGAAGATAATAGATGGAATTCCACCTTGGCTAGGGTATCTCAGAAGTGGTGCTACTGACATTTGGGGCCATATAATTCTTTGCTGTAGGGGGTTTATCTGTACACTGTAGGATAATCATCAGAATCTCTGATCTATACCATTAGATGCCCCCAAACACCTGTTGTGACAACTAAAAATATCTTCAGATGTTGCCAGGTTACCATGGAAGTCAAAAATCACCCACAGTTGAAAAAGACAGATCTGGATCCTGGATCCCAGGGACTGGAAGGAGGAGGATCAGAACATCTTCAGAACCACTTTCCATATTTTGACTTGTTCAGTTAAACTGAATGTTTAATTAGGTACTAAAACAAAGTGGAAGTGTTAAGTGCTGCCAGTTTTAAGTGTTGGAAGGAAACAGGATGTGAGTGGTAGAAATTGAGTAAATTGATCGACTTCTTAAAAATTAAGGGTTATCACTGAAATGTTGAACTAAAGAAAATTAGGTACAGCTCAGTAATTGAATGTTAACTACAGTGATCCTAACTATAGGAGCTTTTAGAATATTAAGCCCAACTTGGTTGCTTTCCTGTAAAGTAAGAAGCATAGCAGAATATGAAACTGTTGCTTTTGAAAACACCACCTGGTTGGCAGAATGCAAAGAGGAACTTAAAGAACCTTTTGATAAAGGTGAAAGAGGAGAGTGAAGAAATTGGCTTAAAACTCAACATTCAGAAAACTTAAGATCATGGCATCTGGTCCCATCACTTCATGGCAAATAGATGGAGAAACAATGGAAATTGTTGTGACAGACTTTATTTTCCTGGGCTCCAGAATCACTGTGGATGGTGACTGCAGCCATGAAATTAAAAGATGCTTGCCCATTGGAAGAAAAGCTCTGACAAACCTAGACAGCATATTAAAAAGCAGACACCACTTTGCTGACAAAGGCCTGTATAGTCAAAGTTACAGTTTTTCTAGTAGTCAGGTACAGATGTGAGAGTTGCACCATAAAGAAGGCCAGTACCAAAGGACTGATGCTTTTGAGCTGTGGTGTTGGAGAAGACTCTTGAGAGTCCCTTGGACAGCCAGGAGATCAAACTAGTCAATCCTAAAGGAAATCAATCCTGAATATTCACTGGAAGGACTGATGCTGAAGCTGAAGCTCCAGTACTTTGGCCATCTGATGGGAAGGGCTGACTCATTGGAAAAGACCCTGATGCTGGGAAAGACTGAAGGCGGGAGGAGAAGGGGATGACAGAAGATGAGATGGTTGGATGGCATCACTGACTCAATGGACATGAGTTTGAGCAAGCTCTGGGAGTTGGAGATGGACAGGGAGGCCTGGAATGCTGCAGTCCATGGGGCCGCAAAGAGTCGGACATGAAAGAGTGACTGAACAACAGCAGCAACAGTTTTAAAATCATCTCAATGAAGAACTGATTTCTTTTAACTATTGCCTGATTTTACTCATTTACAAGCAAAATGATTAAAGCTTCCCTGGTGGCTTAGATGGTAAAGAATCTGCCTGGTGTGCAGGAGGCCTGGGTTCAACCCCTGGGTCAGGAAGACTCCCCTAGAGAAGGGAATGACAACCCACTCCAGTATTCTTGCCTGGAGAATTCCACGAACAGAGGAGCCTGGTGGGCTATAGTCCATCGGGTCCCAAAGAGTTGGACATGACTGAGCGACTAACACTTTTACTTTTCATAAAATGAAGTTAATTATTTAATATTCCTCCTCCCTAGGAGCACTCTCTAGTCTCTGTAGATATATTGGTTTGATGATATAGGCAGATGCTTATCTTTAAAATCTATGAAGGTAGTTGATACTGTGCTTTTAGAAAAATGGCCTTCTAATGTCTTAGTTGGTAACACATATAATGAGGGCCCACCAATGACTGTGGTGCTTTGGAACATTACAGAAGCAATCATTTACATAGTTCCTGATGATCATTTTATGGCTATGGACCAGCAACTGTTAGATGCCTCCATTCCCTCTTCCTTTTTGAACTGGAGTTCTGTTACAATTATTCTATCACTTTTTCATAGATTGAGTGTTTGGGGGTGAGGAGACAAAGAACTTATTTTCTTAGTTACAGGTCATCACATTGAGAGGAGCTGTACCCCAGGATCCTCGTTCACATGCAGGCCTGGTGCAGATGACAAGATCCTGGATTTTGAGCCAGTGATATAATGAGATGAGGCTTTGGGGAAAAGATATAAATTATTATGACCAGAGCAGCAAGAGAAGCAAGTGAAAGTGAAAAAGTTCTGGCCTCATTTTTCAGTAATAATTAAGAGAACAATATTTGAACTACACGAGTGAAGAGTATGTGGGCTGCGGGCAGGGAGGGGAAGGGATGGTTGGGTGGGGAAGGCCCAGAGAGAACTAAACAAAGGAGGAAATTTTACCCCACATTGCTCATGAAAGATATACTGTGGTTCTCTAGCCTCACACCATTGACTGTACAAACTAATGCAAAGCATAGATAAGATTATGCAAAGATTAGATTCCCAAGATGGTATTTGCCCATAAGTATACCAGTAGTGAAATGAGGAAGGTGGTTCATTATTATGGAGAAAGGTTTACTATTGATAGTAAGACATACTTGGTTTTAAATTTCTGTTCTACCACTTACTGATGCCACTTACCTTGGGGAGGCTATTTAACACCAGCTGGATTGTATCTTACAATTTTTTTTTTGTTTTTGTGTATTATTTTGGGAGTATGTCATAAATGTATTTGTTGGAGTCCTTAACTTGTCAGTGGCTAGCTCTAGTGTGAAAGGACATTGGCCTAGAATTATCTTTGCAGAATCTTCTGACATTAGAGGTCTGAAAGCTACTTAGACACTGCTTTTAGCCTTGGTGATAATGACAAATAAAAATGACCCTTTAGCTATATAACTCCTAGTCCTAGTCCCAAAGGAACGTATGACCTTTTTTTTTTTTTTTTTAAGAATGGAATAGAAAGCAGAAGATTGGCTCTGATTATTTTGCAAGCTAGAAATTCCACTTTCAACAATTAACTTAGTGTTTATGCTTGAATGTCATCCTACTGGTTCACCAGGTCAGAATACCCTGGAAAAGTTGATAGGTTTGAGTGCTGCTTCTGAGACACCCAGAATCTAGGTGTAGCTCCATTAAGAAGGCAACCACTAAAAATAAGTGTCCAGTCCTGAGAACCTGTAAAACACTGATGGAATCCAGCCCTGTTAGAAGACCCCAGTTAATTCTATTAGAGAGTAGATCCCAGATTCCTTTCATCCCGGTGATTAGACCTTGGGCTAAAAGGAAGACATTTAACTCTTGCTATATTTCAGATGGATTTCCCTGATGGCTCAGACAGTAAAGAATTACCTGTAAAGCAGGAGACCCAGGTTTCCCTGGGTCAAGGATATCCCCTAGAGAAGGGAATGGCCACCCACTCCAGTATTCTTGCCTGGAGAATCCCATGGACAGAGGAGCCTGGATGACTGCAGTCCATAGTGTCGCAAAGAGTTGGATGTGACTGAGCGACTAACACACACACATATTTCAGATACTGCTTGATCCTTCCACAGAACATTATCTCATCTAATCCTCACTATTTCCCTGTGAAATACTTTATATTATTCCCATTTACAATTCCTCAAATGCCCAAATTTTTATTCATCTCCTCAGCTTTTATATGTCCTATTCCCTCCATCTGGAGTGGTTTTACTCCTACTCTTTGCCTAATGAGTCCTTACTTGTCCTTCAGAGCTCCTCTCAGATGTTACAACATAAAGGAAGCCTTCTTTATTTTGGTTTGTTTCCTTACTACACACTATAATAACACACTGTATCTTAATAAGCACAAGAAATTATGTGATTAGTTATTTAAATCTGTCATTTATGTCCAAGTGTGAGCCCCATGAGGATAGGAACTATATCTGTGTCATTTTTCTGGATTATTTATATGCCAAGTATGTGCAGTTCCTTACACACAGGTACTCAGTAAATAATCAATGTGCCATTGTGGCAAATGAATGCCATAGTCAGGAGTTGAGTGTTTGTGTAATATAACCTCAAAAACTTCTTTCTTTAAATCCACCATACCCAGAACCCAACAGGAAGTTTCTTAGTGATATTACCCAAGAGGCTCTTCCTTGTCTCTATTTCAGTTCTAGATTGGCTATCTCACTAGTATAAGTTATCCATTAACCCTGGCTCGGGTGTGGCTCTCAGATAGGGAACTGAAAGTCTTCAACAAGCCTCTCCAGCTGTGTGTGGGTGAGCTCTACAGAAGTCTCCCCCTTTCTGAGCAGCTGCTTTGAGGACAGGTGGAAGAAAAGACTCCACTTCCCGTTAAGTAACTTTACGTGAGGACACATCTGGTTTACCAGGGTTTCTGACTTCCTGCTGAACTGAATTGCTTGTTCTGTAGGAAAGCAAAACTTGACTGCAAACATACATCTAAAATGAAGAGCCCCCAAACTTTTGAGGAGCAAACAGAATGCATAGTGGATTCTCTCCTCGCTGACTTCTTAGGCCCCGCTTGGCAGGTTGGTAACCGGACCTTACAAAGTGAAGACAGAACAGATTCAGGTAAGGCTTCTGGGCCTGAGGTGGTAATTGCAGGTCAGTAAGAGAATCTGAATCTGCTTATTTCCTTTGAAGTCTCAAAAGGCAAACTAAGTTTTCAATATCTGGAGTCCTTGTAGCAGGGAAAGAGATTCTCAGTGAAGGGAGAATTTTTTGTCTATTGGTGTTGACACTATATTAAAGATTTTCTTGGGAGGATGAGGACTGGATTGTTTAAAAGTCTAGAGAACTTTCTTCAATGCCCAGGTCCCTGGGGCTTGCCATCGCTTCAGGCATTGTGATAAATGTGACTGTGCCCCATCTGTTTTAGGGGAGGTTTCCTCTTTTGATGTGGCCATCATTGCGGGTCGCCTTCGGATGCTGGGTGACAAATTCAATGGAGAATTGGAAGCTTCTGCCAAAAATGTCATCGCAGAAACCATTCGGGGACAGGTTAACTTTCCACTACTTCTTTCTATTTTTGGCTTCTTGTTTATTCTATTTCAGACACTGTTCTCTTACTACGCCTATACAACTGTGACTGCAAATGTTCTATGAAAGATTTGAGGGCTTATTGCATCCAAGGAAATATAGCAGGAGTTCTTCAATTCCAAGTCTTTAGCAGTTAATCAAAGACAAGGTGGTATTGAGGTGAAAAGCTTTGGGCACAGGCTCATCAGCCTTCTGACTGTTTCTGATTGTTTTTCATCAGAGCTGTGCTTTATGGCATAGAGTGTGTGTGTGTGTAAATATATATATACTCTCTCTATATATGTATATGTGTGTGTATATATATATATATAGCACTTTATTCTTAGTAAAACATTCTATTCTTTTAGCACCTTTTAAAATATTTTGCTGGTGAAAGTGAAAGTCGCTCAGTCACGTCCCTACTCTTTGTGACCCCACAGACTATACAGTCCATGGAATTCTCCAGGTCAGAATACTGGAATGGGTAGCCTTTCCCTTCTCCAAGGGGATCTTCCTAACCCAGGGATCGAACCCAGGTCTCCTGAATTGCAGGCGGATTTTTTTACCAGCTCAGTCACAAGGGAAGCCTTTATTTTGTTGGTAGTGGACATCTTTTTTCCCCTCAGGATCCAGCAATAAAATTATATATAGGAAGGACAGGCATTTGACAAGTCTGATGCAATGGGGAATAAGTACTTACAGCAGCCCACTTAGGTGTATCTGGTTTTTCATCAGAGTCCTGATTCTTGGATTCTGTATTGGATATAAATACCATAGACCATGTTTTAGAAGATGTTGCTGATTAATATCAATAATGACAGCTAGTATTAACTCATTACCATGTGTCAGACAATACTCTAAATGTTTTACACTTATTATCTCATTTAATCCTTACACTACTCTATGAGGCATCATAGAAACAATTGTAGTGCAGCTTCTCCCCGTGTATGTATAACATTGTGAGAGCAAACATCTAACCCAATTTTGTCCATTTGCTGTATTCACACAACTTAGATTGTAGAACCTATAGGCCAGGTGACCCCAACCTGTAAGATCTAATCCCTGATGACCTGAGGTGGAGCTGATGTAACAATAATAGAAATAAAGTACACAATAAATGTAATGTGCTTAAATCATCTTGAAACCATCCCCCCACCCCTAGTCTGTGGAAAAATAGTCTTCCACGAAACTGGCCCATGGTGCCAAAAAAGTTGGGGACTGCTGATCGGTCCTCAATTTTCTGACTTAATATCCATTTAAGCAGATAAGGAAACTGTGTGTGTGCTTAGTCACTCAGTCGTGTCTGATCCTTTGTGACCCCATGGACTATAGCCCACCAGGCTCCTCTGTCCATGGGGATTCTCCAGGCAAGAATACTGGAGTGGGTTGCCATTCCCTTCTCCAGGGGATCCATCCAGGGATCAAACCCAGGTCTCAGGCATTGCAGGCAGATTCTTTACTCTCTGAGCCCCCAGGGAAGTCTAAGTTTCATGTGTATCACATAATTCCATTTCTGTATACACCACAGCATGCTCGCCACCAAATTTTTCTGGTTTCTCTCTGTCACCATAAAATTAACTGCCTTTTCACATTTTGACCTTATTATTTATTTCAATGTGGACTCATGAATTCCTACTTTATTCAATGGGTTATAATCTATTGCTATCATTAATTTGTATGCCCAAATTGCCCCAGATTCTACCGGTAGGAGTCCTTTCAATCTGGACTGTGATTTTGGCATGTCCCTATCATTCTCTGAGTACTACTTTAATTTCTTTTACAGAAGATCTTGTATTTTCCAAATTGCAACCTGAAATTAGCCATTCTCCAGGGAACTCTGATTTCTTTGTACAGAGGATGAAATTTGGAAACCAGGATATAGGCATTCTCACTGTGGATGCCCTTCTCAGCTTCTTTGGGTTCTAACTCCCTGTTCTGACAACCATGGGCCCTCTATGCCACACCACAGAAATCTTTATTGGCCCCACCTAGGGCTTCCCTTGTGGCTCAGCTGGTAAAGAATCCACCTGCAATGTGGGAGACCTAGATTTGATCCCTGGGATGGGAAGAGCCCCTGGAGAAGGAAAAGGCTACCCACTCCAGTATTCTGACCTGGAGAATTCCACTGACTGTATAGTCCATGGGATCCCAAAGAGTTGGACACGACTGAGCAACTTTCACTTTCACTGGCCCCAAATAATGGCTTTTGGATCAAACTTTTGGGGAAGGATAAAGGAAGAGGAAAAGCTTAATCTATTTTTTACTTTAGAGTTTCCCAGACTTCAGTCATTTCAGCCAGACATTCAAAATTTGACTAGCTCTACTGTCCTGTACTTATGATTTTTCTTTCAAATCTTTTTTTTTTACTTTAATCATTTTGTTCATCCTGAGCAAATTGTGGGTTTGATGGGCTACTTGTGTTTTTTCTTCCTAATACCCATTGCAATAAATTAAAAAATAATAAAATAAGAAAAGTTTATCCATTTACTCCTTCAGATTACCTTATGGATAGGAGGGGAGTTGGGGGAAGAATGGATACATGTATATATATGGTTGAGTCTCTTCGCTGTTCACCTGAAACTCACAACATTGTTAATCAGCTATACCCCAATACAAAATAAAAAATTTGAAAAAATATTATCTCAAAATAAATTTACTTAATTGAAAATGTGATCAAGGAAAAAAAAAGATTACCTTAGATACAACCAATGTGTCCTTGCTATTCTTTGTGAAACACTTGCTTTACTGGATTCCTGCAACTCTAGCCTCCTGTACCTGTTTAGTGATACTCCACTGATAGATCCTCTGTCTTTCCCCAGGCAGGAACTGTACTTCAGAACACAGTAAAATCGCTCAGCAATGCCTGGTGTGCCCAAGATTCCAGTTTGGCTTACGAGAGAGCCTTTCTGGCAGTGTCAGTGAAACTTCTTGAACGTGTGGCCAGCATGGCTCCTGAGGTGGCAAGACAGGTGGCGAGGCCCCTGACGAATATGATCAATGGCAACACTGCCATCCGAGAATACATCCAGGGCCAGGGAGGATGGGTAAGTATTTTGGACTCCTGGCTTTGCTGGACATTGGCATTGTTTTTATATTAATATATATTTTTATATTAATGCCTGAGACTCCAGTTCATGGTTCTTTCTGTCAGTTGGAAACCATGCAGGAAAACAGGCCCTCCAGCTTTGCTGAAAATGACAGGATTATTTGGGGGTTTTTTTGCCATGGAAAAGGGGAGCAGTCAGAAGCTCAGCCAGCAGGTCTTGGACCCCAAAGTATGCGTGTGTGCATGCATGCATGCATGCTAAGTCGCTTCAGTCATGGCCAACTCTTTGCGACCCTATGGACTGTAGCCTACCAGGCTTCTCTGTCCATGGGATTCTCCAGACAAGAATACTGAAGTGGATTGCCATGCCCTTCTCCGGAGGGTCTTCCTGACCCAGAAATCGAAGCTGCATCTCTTGCATTGTCTCCTGCATTGCAGGCAGATTCTTTACCGCTGAGCTACCAGGGAAGCCCTGGACCCCAGAGGCAGGTTGCCTAAAATATTGACTGCTAACTTTGTCAAACTAATTTCTGCTTCCTTCACACAATCATCTATGGTTTTATTTATGGTGAGGTTGTGACGTCAGTCTGACTTTGCTCTACCCCTCGGTGAGTTTCTGGGTCTTCTTCCCCTCACATCTTTTGGGTGTGTGTTGAGGAAGTTCAGAATCATCTTGCTATTGTCTAACCAAGAACAGTGACATCTGCTGTAGTGGTAACGACAGGCGGCGTTCTAAGCCTGTGCCTTAGAGCATCTGCTCTGAGGAGCATGTGTCTTCATTTCCAGGATGAGCAAAACCCTTAGTAGGAGCTGCCTTCCCTTCAAGTGTCTGCAGGTCCTTCTGGTTTCTTAAGGGAATTCCTGAAGACCATCCCTTTGACTGTAGGATATTCATTGTCTTTCCTAGGAAAATCTGGAGGGCTGAAGAAGAGATGGAGCTGTTTCCCAGCCTGAACAGGACTTCTTTGCCTGATTGGATGATTACCTCTGCTGATTAAAATCAAGAAACAACCAAATTAAAATGCTCTTTCTCTTGGACAGCACTGAATTTAGCTGAATAATCTCTTTTCTACTGATTGTTAAAGTTAGGAGCATCTCCCAGAGGTCTACAGAGATTTTTATACTGTTTTTACATGAGGGGGCTTCCACAGTGACGCAGTAGTTTTAATGAGATTTTTAGTGCAACAAATACCTCCAGATGCAAAGTAATGACTTTAGAAGTGGAGTTCCAGGCAACAGGGCAGGTTGCTGGAGATAGTGTGGGGAAAAGGGAGCCCACAGTGAACCATTCTATCAGATTTAGCGCCATCCTCCGATAAGGCATCTTGTCTACTAATTTTGCAGTCTAAAGCATTCCAGGGAGATCTTTGGTTTAGAAAATCTTGTTATTTTAAGTTGAGGATTTTCTTTTAAATTCATAACATAAATGTCATGTTAATTTCACTGGAGCCAAATTATTTTATGTATTGTCAAGGCTGGAATCAAGAAAATAGCAGTCTGTTCATCTGCTTTTCTATTAGAAAGGCCAAAGAGCAATAGAGCACTCACTGAATTTCTATCACTACAGAATACAGGAAGTGCTGGCCCCCTTCTGGGACTGTAGGGCCATCCTAGCTTAGATGAAGCTAGCTGTGTACATGCCACAGTGTTTCTCAAAGTGCGGTTCACTTACCACTTGTGAACTGTATACGTTGCTGATTTCCAGGCTGCATCCCTAGAGATTCTGTTTTGGTAGGGGTAGGCTGGGGCCTAGGATCCTACCTTTTAATTGGTCCCACTGGTGATTCTGATGTGCATACAAATTTTGAGAACCATCACGTTTGAGCAAGGGTTGGGGAATTACAGCCCACAGACCAAATCAGCCCACAGCTTTTTTTTTTTTTTTTAAAGAAAGTTTTTTTTGGAATGCAACTACACTCACTTGTTTACATATTACCTATGGCTGTTGTAGCATTGCGACTGTAGAGCTGAGTTATGGCAGACACCATATAGCCTGTCCTGTAAAACCTAAAATATCTACCGTCTGGCCCTTTAAGTTTTCAGACCTCTGCTCTAGAGCTCCATGACCATTTCTCCTTGAGTAATTTAAACTCTGCTGCAGTCCTGATAATTCCAAAAGAAACCGTAGATAGGATGACTCTTTTTTTCAGAATTTAGTTTGAGTGTTTGTTAGTTCTTGCATAGTCCACACTTTCTCTAAAACCTTTGGCAAATCAGTGAACTCCGGGACTCCTGAGTATTTGATAGAGGTGTGTATTTCCTTGGTCCTGCCACAAGCAATTGGAAGTGATTGGAAGTAAAACATATGGTTTCTATGGTCTGTGTATCACATAACAGTTCTTAATAATCTCATGGATTAATAGATAGTCACCAAGTAGAGACTTCTTCATCTCTAAGCTCCAGAAACTAGATGACTTACCTAAACATCAAGAAGAAAAGCACTACTGTTTAAGCGAGGCGTTAATGACTTTGGCTTAAGTTTAACAAAGCTAACCACATCCCCTCCCTTCAACCAGCCAGCTATCTGGCTCCTCCAGATGTACAGACATAAACATATAGTGCTGCTAATATATTTTGACTTTTTCAAGTTATGCTATTTCCTCTATTTTTCAATAAATTAGGTTGGCAATCCAGAAATGAGATTTCACGTTTCTTTAGTAGAAATTAGCTTTTCTTGCTACCAACTTCAGATACTTTATGTATTTCTTTGTCCCTTACATTACTATAAACCCAACATGGTGAGTTTTGTGGTATTTGACCTCTTAGGTGAAATCATTATTTTCACTTTGACTAACGCTGTGCTGTTCATGAAATAAAATTCTCTCTGTGCATTTGATCTAATTCTCAGCAAGTGCAATCTAAATTGAATGATACAGCAACAGGAAGCAGATTGGTGGTTGCCAAGGGCAGAGATTGGCGATTGGGGTAGAGAAAATAGGTGAAGGTGGTCAAAGGGCACAAACTTCTATGAGATGAAAAGTTCTGCGGATGAAATGTATAGCATGTTGACTATAGTTAACAATCTTGTTCAGTCACCAGTCATGTCCAACTGTTTTGCAACCACATGGACTGTAGGCTTCTCTGTCTGTAGGATTTCCCAGGCAAGAATACCAGAATAGGTTGCCATTTTCTCCTCCAGGGGATCTTCTTGATCCAGAGTATTAACTCATGTTTCCTGCATTGCAGTCATGTTGACTATAGTTAACAATCTTGTTCAGTCACCAGTCGTGTCCAACTGTTTTGCAACCACATGGACTGTAGGCTTCTCTGTCTGTAGGATTTCCCAGGCAAGAATACCAGAATAGGTTGCCATTTTCTCCTCCAGGGGATCTTCCTGATCCAGAGTATGAACTCATGTTTCCTGCATTGCAGACGGATTCTTTACTGCTGAGTCACCAGGGAAGCACATGGTTAACAATACTATAATATATATTTGAATCTAATGGAGCAGATTTTTAAAATTCTCGACACACACACACAAATTGTAGCTATGTAAGGTGATAGGTTTGTTGACTAACTTTATTATGGTGATCATTTTACAAAGATAAATATCAAATCATTGCATTGTATGCCTTAAATTTACACAATATTATATCTCAATAAAAATGGAAAAAAATAAATTGAATGATAAGTATTAGAGGTCAGCAATGCCCTCTTTTTATTCTTCCCCCTCTTAGCCATGACAGCTCCCTTTTTTGTTCTATGTTGCCCACAAAACATCAGAATGTGAATCTAGCTCCAAGTATACTATAGTATCTTTCTTGGGGGCCATGCCACACAGCTTGTAAGGCCTTAGTTCCCCAACAGGGCCACAGCAGTGAAAGCGCAGGGTCCTAACCACTGGACCACCAAGGAGTTCCCCTGTTCTGTAATGCCTTGAGACAGAGGATATGGTGCTAGGCAAATAGATAAGGCAGCTCTGGCCTGGGTGTTGTGTTTGTTGCTAGGCCACCGTCTGTCCTAGGAGAGCTGAAGTGATTTGGGCTGCACGAAAGAGATACTGTAGCCCAGAAATCATGAATGCATTTAGACTGTCTGATTTTAACAACTTGATTTCACCGTAGACAAACCATGTGACATCGGGCAAGTAATCCAACTCCTTTGTGCCTGTGTTCCCACGATAGGATTATTGTGAGGGATAAATGATAAATACACTTTGTGAAGGGTTTAGCCTAATGCCTGGAATATGTTAAGCACTGCTTGAACAATTTGGAGACCCTGTGATTTGAAATTCATAAAGTTCTAGCTTGACTTTTTTCTCTTCATTAATTCTGCCTCCCACAAAGGCAAACCAGTCTTATTTTACATTTCACCTCAATGTGATTCCTAAATCTGACTTATTTTCCTTCTTCCTAAATCCATACCCACAAACTCTAACTCTTTATTTCTATCGACCTTTCTTATCCCCACACTTTCTCAGATTGCCATCCAACTAACTCAAAGCCTCAGTCATTTTTCCCTTCTCCCTCTTTCCAGTTCTATGCCACTGGTTAGTCTTTCTCACTATTCCTTCCTATTTTGTCCTGATTCTTCCTACAAGAATTTATTACCACCTGCTGGGACTACTGATAAAACCTAGTTATGCTTTCAATTGATCATCCTGTTGCAAGCTTGACCCATTCCAGTCTGTCCCATATATTACCACCAAGTTGGCCAAAGCTGTGACTTATTTTTTTTTTGTCCCTTTTTGGATATGGTATAATTCATTTTGAAATTTTACATGCCACTGAACAAGATTTTAAAACTTTAATAAAATGTATCAGGACTTCCCTGGTGGTGCAGTGGTTAAGAATCTGCCTGCCAGTGCAGAAGACATGGATTCCATCTCTGGTCCAGGAAGACTCCACACACTGCAGGGCAACTAAGCCCATGTGCCACAACTACTGAGCCCACATTCTAGAGCGTGTGCTCCACAACAAGAGAAGCCACTGCGGTGAGAAGCTTATGTACCACAACTAGGGAGTAGCACTCACTTGCTGCAACTAGAGAAAGCCTGTGTAGCAACGAAGACCCAGCACACCAAAAACAAATAATTAAAAAATAAAATAAAAATTTCTTTAAAAATGTATCAGATGGGAGCACTTACTATTTAAAAACTAAGAATCATTTTCCCAAAGCATTGCTTTGATTACCATTCTCTTGAAATCTTTCAGTAGAAGGTAATTGGATGTATTCATGGTTTCATGAGTGTGTACACATACCAAAACTTATCAAATCTACACTTTGAAATGTGTAGTTTATCATATGTCAGTACTACCTCAATAAAGTTTTTTTTTTTAATCAGTGTTTTCCCATTTCCCATCAAATAAAGCCTGACTTTTCAGCCTGGTATTCAAGTTCCCTCAGGGTCTGGGACCAGCTGTCTTTTCTAGTGTTACAAACCAAGACTCTTTTCTATATAACCCATACTCCAGTCAAACTGAGCCATCATTACGCCATCCTCTACCTACTATTCTCTGTTTTCTATTGCTTTCTCTCAGGCTGTACAGATATCTTCAAGACCCAATTCAAATGTTACTTCCTCTGTGAAGACTATACAGATAAGGGATTTCCCTGGTGGTCCAGTGGCTAAGACTCCACACTCCCAAAGCAGGGGGCCTGGGTTCAATCTCTGGTCAGGGAACTAGATCCCACAAGCTTGCATGCTGCACCTGAAGATCCCACATGTTTTGACAAAGATCGAAGATCCTAAGTGCAGCAACTAAAACCTGGGGCAGCCAAATAAATAAATAATTTGTTTAAAGGCTATCTAGATAATCCAAGTAAGAAGTGATCTTTACCTTCTCATGATAATTTTTTTTTCTGGCTCTGACCCTGACTGTCTTCTCATAATTTTGTTTGCACCACATTATGGTCTTATCACAAATGGTCTTAAATTATACTTATTTGTGTGCTTACCTTTTTTGGACATAGTTGGCTTTTTAAGCAACCTCTACATCTGTTTTACTTTGATAGTATATTTCACAGGGTCCTTAACACTAGGCAGATCTCCCCATTCTTACCACTTGTTAAGAACATGAGCCAGGCAAGGCTC